AACAAAAAAAATTTTCAATTTAAATTGTTAATTATTTTAATTATTTTTATTTATATTATATAATTTTATTTATATTATATTATATAATTTTAAAATATGGATCTCAAAATTATCACATTTTCATAAAATTATATGCATACTAATTTTATTAAACTGATGCGCATTCGTTAAAATCCCCTCCAAATATATTACACTGCATTGGTTGTCATTTCATTATTTCATGTATATCTGATCCTCTAGTTAAACGAATTTTTTTTAATTAAATATGTTTTCAAAATAATATTTATATAAAAACAATAGAAAAATAAAGAATTTACTTAAAATTTTTTATACTTATAGAAGCATCGTTTTGATTATTATAAAGTAAATAAACTCATTAAGTATATGTTCGTTATTGAGGCCACATATTGAGGTCAGGAGTGCTGCATTCAACGAAAGACCCCCAACTTCGTTTTAAAATATTATAAAACAAGGACCGAAGATATTATAATATATTTATTTATCCATTTTTTATATTTTTACATGAATATTTATACTTTTTCATCTAACTTTTTCTCTCTTTGTTTTTAATTTATTCATTCTTCCATTTTATGATCTTTTTCTATCTTACATTTGACACTACTTATTTATCTCTCTTACGCCTATTTCCTTTATATATTCTCTCTTTCTATTTTATGATATTTCCACTCCTTGTCTGTCTCTCTTGATCTTTCCTGTTCTGTCGAATCGAACTAGAGTCCCTTCCTGCGAATTTACGTAGATATTTCTATTTGTGAACGGTTCCAACCTTCAGGATGCAAGCTATTAAATGTGTTGTCGTAGGAGACGGGTGAGTATTTTAAAACCTATTGTAATGTTTCGCGATATGTTTGTTTTCTCTATTTTTGATTTATATTACTTGATCAAGAATCATCAAAGTAGCCTTTGGCGATTGGTTTTTTCTGATCAAGAAATATTTAAAAGCTAGTACCACACCCGTTATACTTTTTTTTAATTTTTTTTATTTTTCTATTCACTGTTGAAGGTTAATACAAAATCAGAATAATATAATTATTCTATAATTATCAATTTCTAGATAATTTTTTACTTGGAAGCTTTAACCCAAGTTGTATTATTTTATTATTTTTTATCTGATAATATAACATTTTTATTTATATTTTATTTATAATTAATTTTTTGTTATCAAAATTATAATGTATTTTTATATAATCAATTTAATTATTTTTAATTGATTAATTTCTACAGAGCAGTAGGTAAAACATGTCTCCTTATAAGCTATACTACCAATGCCTTTCCTGGAGAATATATTCCAACTGTATTTGACAATTATTCTGCAAATGTCATGGTGGATGGTAAACCAATAAATCTTGGTTTATGGGATACAGCAGGTCAAGAAGATTATGACAGATTAAGACCATTGTCTTATCCTCAAACAGATGTTTTTTTGATCTGCTTTTCTCTCGTTAACCCAGCCAGTTTTGAAAATGTTCGTGCAAAATGGTATCCAGAAGTACGTCATCATTGTCCAGCTACTCCAATTATTTTAGTAGGAACTAAATTAGATTTACGCGAAGATAAAGAAACAATTGAGCGATTAAAAGATAAAAAACTTGCACCAATAACATATCCTCAGGCATGTATTTATTTTATATATTATTCTGCTCTATCTATAATTATAATAATTTTTAAATTATTAATTAATTATTAATTTTATAATTATAATTTATTAAATAGGGTTTATCCATGGCAAAAGAAATTGGTGCTGTAAAATATTTAGAATGTTCGGCTCTTACTCAAAAAGGATTAAAAACAGTATTTGATGAAGCAATTCGCGCAGTATTGTGTCCTGTTCTTCAAGTGAAACCAAAACGCAGATGTTTCCTTCTATAATATTAAATGTCCAACGACGGTGGAGCATGTGCAAATGTACTATTTTTCCTCCGATCGGACTTGATTGCAGCAGGACATCTAATTTCTATTAAAAAAACCCCGTTATACGGTCCATCTCTCTACAAAGCATCTGCCATAAAAACGCACAAATCAATTTATATAATGCGTATAAACAGATGAAGAAAGAATATACGCAATTTAAGTGTTTTGGACATTAGCTAAATATTCTTGCGAGAGAAAGAAAGCCAAATGAGAACAGAACTGATAATGTACAGTATATTAGAGTGTGTTATTAATATTAGTTATTACATATGAATTATAAGAAATTAAACATTATTACATATGTGTGTTTATCAGCACACTAAATACTAATCAATTTAATAAAAGAGTAAATCATTTTATGTAAATTTGCACTGTATATTTCAAATGCAAGAAATATAATTACATTCTCAAATTTTTGATATAAAAAATAAAAAAATTGATTTATTATTAAATAGTATTAAAAATTAATATATTAAACATTTAATTCTTGAATAAGTTTTTTTTTAATTCATAATTAATTGAAATATCATAAATTGTAAATTTTATCTTCTTTCTGCAAATATGCAGTTGCAAACATATGAAATGATTTTCATTTTTAATTAAATTGATTGATATATACCATGAAATAAGATAATCATGTAAGTCTTAGAAATGAGCGATAAGTGTGATTTCACTTCTCTATCTCTATTTTCATGTTGCTGCAATTTTGCTGTAATTGATACGCACAACATGGTTAAAAAGAAAAAAATATGAGATAGAGAAAATTAGTATGTATGAATGAATGTTTAAGAGTGCAGAGAGAAAAAAGAAGGAATTATTCTATAACAAATAATTGTACATAAATGGTAAAAGTTCAAATTGTATTCCTATCATTCTTATTTTACTTGCATAAGCTGCTGAATTTAAATCGGACGTTACTTGTTTTTTATATATATATTATAAATATATATAAAGTGGGGCTGGACCGAGATCTATTTCAATCGTCGCAGATCCACTGACCTGTGCAATCTATCCGCGGAATGGGGATTCAGTCCATAAAAAATATCATAGATATTGTAACTAATATGCTTTATTAAATGGGTGTTTATTAAATTTTTCTACTTATTTATTATGCCGTTGTGTCAAAAAATGTATCAATTAAAATAGATATTTGTTCAGGAGTGTATTTTATATATTTAGCAGGATTCTTAGAAAATGATATTCCTCGATATTTATTATAAAATTTTCTATAAAGAGGAACAATAGCTTGTTGAAGTTCTTTTCGTAATTCTTCTCGTAATCGAGCATCAGGTACAGAATAAGAACGTTGACACTTTGCAACTTCTTCTAATTCTCTTGTAAATCCTAAAAATTTCTCTTTCAGAATTTTTGCTCCTGGTTCTATAAAAATAATAAAATTCATAAATTATTTTTCTGTGCTTACATGATTGATAAATATTGCAATTGTTATAATTATATTATATAATTTTATGTATTTTTTATATTATTACAAAATATTTTTTAATTTTATATAATTAATTATTAAAAATACTTGATATATTTAAGAAAATTTTTAACATATATAGATTTTTTTGTCTTATATTAAAAAATAATTATTAAAATAGAAACCTGGTTCATCAAACGGTTGTTCGAGATAAGTGCGTGCCTTTGCAAAAGTAGTAGAAACATAATTAACCTTATCTTTTAATAAGAGATCATAATATGTTTGTTCTGCACTTGGTTCTGATAATAATAAAAGTTCCATTAATGAACTACGACGTAAAGCATTTATAACATGATTATGATTGTTTAAACGAAACAAAGCTCTTAATGCAATATCCGAATATGAAGTATCACTTTTACTTACAAGCACCAAATTTAATTGTGCTAATACTTTTTCTAAATATGAAAATGAAAACATTAATTAATTTTATAACATTTTCATATTTAATATAAAGAAATGGTGATACCAACTAATATAAGTGCCAAGTATTGTTCTATACATGTTTTCTGTTTGTTTCATAGATGTTGCACCTTCCATATCAGCACTCCGTCTTAAAACAGCTCCTGCTGTATCTGCATATTCTGCTAATTGTTCTAAAAAAACTAGAACATTACTTGTACTTTCTGCTACAGTACCATCTTTAGGTAAAATTGAATTGGATTCATTTCTGACACTTTCGGCAAAGTCTTCCAATGCTTTTGCCCCCTATATTATTAAATTTATATAATAATTTAAAATAAATTTTAGGAATTGTGTAATATTATACATACAGTTATATTTAAAGTATTAAGCACAGAAGTAAATTTTGATCTAAGAGCATAATCACAACCCTCAACAGTACGTTCCAAGTCTGGTTTTAATTCTCCAAGATGTTTTAAAATAGGAAAAATTACTAAAACCGCGGAAAAATCACGTCTTATAATACATCTTTTAGCACGAGTTGCTATACTTTCTCCATCGTGAGCTACAAGATCCATAGCTTCGCGTACTGTAGCTTCTAGTACTTGTGCTTGCAAACTAGTTGGTAAAATTTTAGCAACCAATGATCGTTCTGCTTGCATAAGTTTATGAAGACCAACTGTTAATAAAAGATAATTTTCCATTTCTTGTTCATCTGGTGCTGTATCCTCTACAGAATGTGCAGATAACTGTGGTGGTGGTTTTCTAGATGTTGTTAAAGATAATCCCAAACCAGTAGTTTGAGAAGCTTTTAATAACATTCTACTAGCTTTTTTTTCTAAAGCATGTTGTAATCTTTTAGAAGCTCTTTTTCCACTAATTTCTTGAATTCCTAATGAATGTCTGTTTCCAAATTTTGTTTTCTATAAAATACAATACAATTTTTATATTTAAAATTTTAAATATTTATAATATATACACAAAAAATATGTTATTTAAATTTCTTACTGGTAAAGGACTTCCTGCATGTGTACTGCCACCACTAGCACTCCTTTGATGTTCTTTTAATAATTGTAGAGATCTTAAAACAATTGCAGAACGCACAGATGCATAAATCTTTACATGTTTACGATGTCCTCTTTCTTCTAACCATGCTGCAATTTTAACTAAATCTCCTAAAATACTTTCTGATAATTGACAAAGAGATTGTGGAGCATCCTCACCACTAGTATCTTCATCTGAACCAATTAAATCCAAAAGAACAATTGGAAGAATTGGTTTACTTTGTCTAGTTAAAATGTCATGAAATTCTGCATATAAAGCATCTAAACCAACAACAAATAAACTTGTTACATTTTCTAATTCTACAGAACTTGGATTATTCTTTTGAAAATAACGTTGAGCATTATAAAGACGATTCATTGCTTCTAAAAAATTATCTAATCCTCCAGATCCTCCTGGACCAGCTCGCACTGTAACTTCTACTTCTTGACAGACTCCATAATATCCAATAGCATGATCTAGAGCATTCAATGTCATTTCAATATCTGTAAAGAAAAAGATATTTATATTTTAAAATTTAAATTATTAATATAATTAGAAGTAATAAATATACAAAATATTTTAAATAATGGACATTATATATGATTAAATTATTAGGAAAGATTAAATTAATTTTTTGGGGAGGTCTTATTTTTTTAATATATTTAATATTTCTATTTAAATATAATAGAATTTTCCATCCTTATTTAAATAGAAATAATAGCAAAATTAACAAAAAAAGTGCAAAACATAAAATATTAATTTTTGACTAAAGAAACATTAATTTGGAGTTCTTTATTTTTTTAGTTTTTTAAATTCGTAGTGATAATAGTTATTGATTCAATAATCCATTATATTCATAAAATGAAAAGTCATAAAATAATGAGATTTTCAAAAATCATAATACAAATTGCCAATTATTCATTGGATTACATGAAAAAAAAAATTTTGTCATTTATATATCTATTTATATTTTACATTATATACATTACATATATTACATTACTAGTAACTATTAGAATGCAAATTGTAAACAAAAATTAAATTTCTTATCTCCACATTTTTAAATTTTAAAATTTTTTATTTCTCAAATAATTTTCATCAAATTCTAATATTGATAATTATATAATAATAATAATAATAATAATAAGTTTTCATGGTGAAATTTTTTCAATAAATTTAACATTTTTTTCTTACATGATATAATAAAATTTATTTGCTATATAAATATAGATCATTCAAAATTTTATTAAAAATTTATAATAAAAATGAAAAATAAAAAAAAACAGATTTATAGATATTATTATATCATAAAAGAAAAGATCAACAATATTTATATAATCTATATACAAATTATTATTTGAAGAATTCAATATTCTTATAAAATAGTTTTTTAAATATTCTTTAAGATTCATTTTTTTCTTTTAAAATAATCTATATTTGTTAATTAGTAATTATGTACAATAATTATAAAATTGAGTACAATATAATAATAAATAATAAGATATATATAATTTTGATTTTATAATGATTAATTCCACATTATTTTATGATATTAGATTAAACAAATGATAATTTTAGCAATAAATAGATTATAATAGTCCAATATGTATTTTCTAATATTTCCAGATTTTCTCTGTATTTTCTCTATACCATATACTGTGAAATGATAAAAAAAAATACATTTTCTTAACATTTGAAAAATGTTAAATATTTATAAACAATTAAATTATTTTAATAATAATAATGAATAATAATAATGAATTTTAAAGAATGTTATATATGTAAAAATAACAAAACAATGACTAAACAAATATTAAAAAGTGTTAAAATAATATTTTAAAAAAATTATTAATTGACAGAAATTCGTATTCTATAATAGAAGAATTATTTTGTTAATCATTAACTGTAATAATATAATCACATATTATATATGGTAATTTATGCAAACCGATAACTTCTGGAAATTTCATTAATTTATTACTTTTTATTATATTGAATTGATTTCATATAAAAAACAACAAATATTATTACATAATATATAACATAATATTAAAAAAAGAAAAAAAGATTTTTATATATATATAAAAAAAAATTAACTTTATCACAGTATTTCAACTAAAATTATATATATATATATAAATGAGAGACAGAAAGATATATTTTTTAAATTACAATAAAACTTTGTTTATTCGAATTATTTAGATGACAGGCAGATCAAATAATAAAAATTCAAAATTTGTTTAATATTTGATAAAAAGAGATTAATATATTGTGTTTCTATTCAACTTTTATTCCACAAAAACAAAATATATCTATTAATTAAAAATATGTATTTATATAATTAAAATTATATTTGATTTCAGTTCAGATAATAAAAGTTTATTTAGAAATTCATATACGTAAGATTAAAAGAGCTTTTAATTGGTTTATATAAAGTTTTATTATAGTTTTAAATAGTTAAAATATTATTTCAAATTAAAAAGACATTCAGTGAACTATCAATTGAATATATATTATAAATTTTTATTTGTTAAAAATATTTCAATAAAAAACTATTGTTTAGAATAGAATCATTAAAATATTAATATATATTAATAACATACTTTGTTGCTGTGCTTGAAGATTTCCTGTTTCATTATAAACAGGAAGTATGGTACGTCGCAATGTAGCAAGACGTTGTTCTAAAGAAGACAGAATTCCTACAACATTATTGGTTAATTTTCTACTTCGCTCTTCTGCTTCTTTTAATGCTTCTAAAGAAGCTATTTCTGCTTCTAATTTACACTGAATTTCAAATCTGTGTTCAGAAGTATCTGCTCTTGCAATATGCATCATTTTATCTAAAAATTATAATATAATATAAAATGTAGAAAATATTGTAAATATTTTAAAAAATTATTATAATATTATCAAATTACTTGAAATATATTTTAAAAATATTATATATATATATATATATA